GGGGAATAGGAAAGGCAGAAACCAGGTGTTCTAGCCCTGACCTTAAGCGGGCCCCTTCCTCTCCCGCTCTCCCTGCTCAGACACCGTAATTATGCAGATCCTCTTCCTGCACCTGCCTCTCCAACCCTGGAGAAGCCAGGCTCCCCACCAGCCTCTCACCTGTCCCCGATCCACAGAAGCTTCTGAGTTATGCTCACCTGGGAAGCAGACCCAGCCCCCGAAGCAGAGCGCCCCTGCAGTCGACCTTCGGTGCACCATGGACCCTGTGAAAATGACCGTGTTGCCCCCACCCACTCGCCACTGTCGCCATCGAGACTCTTCAGCACGCTGCGCCCACCGCCACGTAGCCTGGGCTCCTGACACTGACAGCGATGACGAGAAGACCCCACGTCAGCACACAACAATCTGCTCCCACAACTGGGATTGCCCCAAGGACTGGGAAGGCTTTCAGTCCACCCAGGGGTTCTGGACTCCCTGGGCCCAGGCTGCCGTGGAGCCACCTACCCAGACCATCCGCTTCCAGCAAACTGCAGAGGGAAGGCCGCTCAAAAGAGAGATGCAGTCAGAGCTGGGCCTAGAGGCCTCCGCGTACCCTGTGAACCCCCGCCCCACAGCCCTCAGGCCCTGAGCCACAAGAACGGTTCAGTGGTGCCCCAAGCAGAACAGGAGCAGTGCTCGCCAGCGCAGCCACCCATGCTGGGCTCGGCCCACATCCCAGACATCCCCCGGCACCACTCCTCAGGGCACGTAGCCTGTAATGCCAGAGACGTGAGGGGGTGGCTGCGGGAGCTGACCAGGGAGGTGGAGGCCCTGTCCCACTGTTACTCCCCGGTCTCTGGATCCAGCACGGCTGAGGGGACGGGAAAGGCCTGGGTATACCGTTCCCTGACAGAGAGGTGACTGGAAGAAGAATAAAAAGAAGAGAGGAGGTGGTTTGTGGTGGTGTGGGGGGTGCCAGGGCCCACACAACACCCAGAAACCCGGTTGCTAAGGAAATGATCTCCCTGGCAACAGGGCCTAGAGAGCCCTGAGGACCCTCATCAACTTCTTGGCCTCACCAGGCCCTGTCCTCAGCCCTTTCCCAGGCCATTCTTGGTTCCAAGCCTCCCACCTGCCTCTACTCTGTTCTTTAGTGCCCAGGGAAGCCCCCCAAATCCCACTCCAGATCCCCAGGCAGTACTGCACTTGAGTGGAGACCCTCATCCCCATGGCCTCAGTCTCTCAGAGGTCCAGCTCCTACCAGAGCCCTGGTTTAGGCTGTAACTACAGGTGAGGTGTGGTCCCTCTGAAGCCCTGGTTTCTTTGGGGAGGGATGGCTGAGTGAGGGTACCCAGGCCCTCACAGTTCCCCAGTCAGAACCCGAAGCTCCTGTATACTCGAGAAGGCTTGGAGCAGAGGATAAAATATTGAGGACACTCTCAAGGGCTGCCTCCACACAGCCCTGTGTGCCCTCACTCCTCTGATTAGCACTTCCATGTCACAAATGAGGAGACTGAGGCTCAGAGACGCCAAGTGACTTATTCATGGTCACGCGGACACCAAGGATCAACTTCATGGCCTCAGACTCTCCGTCCCATTGCTCCCACAGGTAGATTCCCACTGCTACTGAGCCAGCCTGGCCCGTCAGAGTCTCCTCCCACCTTCCTCAGTTTCCCATGTAAACTCATCAGGATATTGCATCCACTGGACAGCAGGGAAACCCAGGCCCTACCTACTTCTAGACACACACACACACAACTTGGGAACAAGGAGCCAGGCCGAGGGGACTAGACTTCACCTTCCATACCAGATGGGTTCCTGGAATGTGAGCAGATAGGCCTTTTATGAATCACCCTGCTTCTCTGTTCATTTTCATTTGACTAACGTTATCGATCATTTTAAGCTGATTCCATTAAGTGGGTCTATATTGAGCACCTGCTATGTGTTTGAAGTCTTGATGGAAAAGGCCCACTGGCTGTTTCTATTTCTTTCTTTCTTTTTTTTCTTTTTGGCCATGCAGTGTGGTTTGCAGGATCTTAGTTCCCTGACCAGGGATTGAACTGGGGCCCTCAACAATGAAAGCGTGTAGTCCTAATCACCGGACATCCCAGGAACTCCCTGTTCCTCTATATCTGTTGAGATGTTCATTGTGCAAAGAAAATGACTTGAGGTTCCCCAGGTACCACTTTCACAGACCCCAGCAATGAACCCGGTTGATAATAGTAGATTCCGTTTGTCATATCAACAACTACATCTATTTTGTGCTTTGTGAATTTCATGTGGTTTTCTTAAGACAGCAGCTAACCGTTTTTCAACTCGGAGGGTTGGCTCAGTGGGAGGGAAGTTGGTTAGGAAGGAGAGAAACCATGGTTTGGGGTGGTCTCTGGAAAAGGCGGCAAACCCTTGCTCTGAACTAAAGGGGCCAGTGGGCTCAGTGACCACCAACACCTAAGGCTGCAATCCCTGGCAGGAAGGGGTGGGTACTAGAGGGGTTATGACAGGGAAATGAGCAGGACAAGGAGGGGATGGTGCAGTGGGGCGACCCCAGAGGGGACTCTTACTGTCACTCATCCATCTAGTCACCCTCGCTGCTGGCCCCAAGCAGGCGTGAGTGGGGAATCCCAACAGGCTACATAAGCTGCCATAATGTCTCGAACAATGAAATGGAGGAAATCCTTTATGCATGATTCAGTCCCTATGAAGACTGTCTCTCATCTGTAGCAACCATGCTTGCAAATCAAGTTAAGCAAGGCCCCATGGAGACAGAAGGACAGACTGAACTCTGGGGACTAGGCTCCATGTAGTGGGAGCCGAGGGCAGAGATGGCCACATAAAGGGCCAGCTGAGTGGATGAAAGCTTGGCCACCTCGGCATTGTGACTCCCTGCAACGTGCCTCATTATGACCATGCTCCCTCACCTGTTGGTGGGTGTCCGCAGGTCCTGGCATGAGTGCACTGTGGGTCAGGGCTGGTGGGGGGGGGGCGGCCCGCGGCCCAGGTGGCCCTAGGACCCCCCCACCTTGGAAAACCGGCTCTGGTATGACAACCTGGGGTGCTGCCATCAATACCAAGAAAGTACCCAGAATGCGGAGGACTTCCTACTCCTGCTGCTGGGCCTTGTCGTTCTTGTCAGCATTGGGATCAGCATGGCAACTATGGTCAGCGATGGTTGGGGACCACCAGTAGGGGTGAAGAGGGCTGAGGGTGGGAACCAGCTGCAGCCTGCACCTCCGTCTGCAGGAACGGTCTTGGCTGAGACGGGGGGTGAGGGTAGAGAGCCTGGCCTTCATTTTCACCCACCCCACCCCACCCCACCCCAGGTATGGCATGGGCTCCAGAACGCCTTAGACAAGACCATCTATTGGATTAATCAGAAAAGTAAGTACGGAAGACAGGTAGGCGGCACCACGCCCCCGCTACTCCCAGGGCCCTAGAAACCCAGGCCCCCAGGTTCCCAACCCTGAACTCTTCTGACATTTGCCCTGCCCTCACGGACTCTCGCCTCCGCCAGATGACATCTCGCAGGCTTGTGAAAGTTCCCCCAAACATCCTCCAGCCAAGGCCCAAGACGTCCACATCCACTGCACCCTGGACCCTGTGGAAGTGAAGATGGCCCGGCCCGCTTGCTACCCCCGTCCTCCTACCATCATCTCGGCAACCGTAGCCGCAGCTGCAACCGCCGCCCCGGCAGCCACCAGCGGAGGCCGAAGAACCGCAGACAATTCCCCTACAGCTGCTCAGGCTGCCGTAGGCCGCATCGCAGCCACGGGATGGTCACAGCTGCGGCCGATGCCCTCCTCTGATCGGGAGGACCCGGACTCCTACCTGGAGGAGGAGGATGATCTTTCCTTCCCACAACCCAAGTACCCGTGGGGGTGCTGGGGAGGGCTCTACCAGCAGATGGGCCTGCCCTCCAACGTGGGCCTCTGGGGCCGCCAGGGTGGGATACTGGCCAGCCTGCCACCACCCTGTCTCTACCTGTCGCCCGAGCTGCGCCGCATGGCCAAGCGTGTGGAGGCCAAGTCCGAGCTAAGGCTGCAGTCCTTCGGGGCCCCCTGCTCACCAACCCGCATCTGGGGCAACGTGGAGGCTGACCAGTGGACCTCGTCTCCACCACCTCCCCGACGGCTGCCCCCTAACCCCTCGTGGGTCCCTGGGGGACACAGCACTTACCCCTCAAGGGGCCAGCTCCCGTATGACTCCTGGGATCAGCGGCGGAGTGGTCTGGAGGGCTCTGAGCCTCCATCCGCTCTGGTGCCTCGGGGCTGCCGGCCCGAAGCCTGGCAGCGCAACTCCCCACTGGCCACGGACGGAGCCTCCCCAGCTGTGCTCACAGCCAACCCAACCGCAGCCCGCACCCCTCCACGGGACACTTGAAGTACTCCCGGGATCCCCACGAGGTGCGGCGCCGGGCGGCCGAATGGGCCGAGATGCTGCCCGTGCGGTGCCCTCTGGCCACCTCCGCCTCCCTCACGGTGCTGGCCGAGGCCTCGTACCAGCGGGCCCCGGCTCCCAGCTCAGCGCTGCTCCTCCGCCCCTCCCAGCCCCTGCCCGACGTCCAGGCTACCGAGCACCCACCACCCCCGCCCACCTTCATGCCACTCAGGCGGAACCCGGGGGGCAATGCCAACTACCAGGTGTATGACAGCCTGGAGCGGAAGCGGCAACCGCAGGAGAGCCAAGCACGGGCCAACTCGCTGCTACCTTCCACCTCGGCCTCGAGGCCCTCTCTGCATGGGAGCCAGACTGGAAAAATGAACTGACTAGCAGCAAATGGGGGGCGGGGGCGGCAGGGCATGGAGAGAGCAATAAAGAGCGCCAGAGTCCAGGAAACACTGGTGGTCTGTGGCTTGGAAGCACCACTCCTTCTACCAGCCTGGGTCCCTGCCCTTGGCTTCCTGCAATAAGAAGCCAGTGTCCCCTTCTTGGCCTGAGGGTCCCCTTGGTTTAGTGGCCACAGTCCTGCCAGCAGGCCCCTCCTGGTCCTATACCATGCACTAAGTAGATCTGCAGCTGCAGACTCCAAACCACTGGTCTCTGGGCACCTCCTCTGTGTCTCAGCTGTCTCTGTCCCCAAAGAGCCTCATACAAGAAGCTGCTTCAAACTGGGAGGTTCCACATCTGGGCAGGTCCAGCTCCACGCCCAGTGAAGGGCATGAAGAAGGCTGAGGCTGTGGACTCCAGCCAGGCCATCCGCAGGGCTCTGAGGCCAAGGTCTTCCTAGTCTCAGGAGGAGCCAAGAGATGGAATGTGTCATTTGAACAAGTGAGTCAGCGGGCTGTGAGCGAATGATTGACCGCTCGAGGGGAGGTGTGCCAGCCTACAGGCCCTGTTTGACTGTCCAGGCTCAGCTTACCTCACCCTGGTTACCAGGGAATGCCACCCTGGTTACCAGGGAATCCCCCTCCCTCACTGTGACCTCACCACCTGCCCCATTATGACCCAGTCTGACTCCCAGTTAAAAGTGGAGGGCAGGGGGCCCAGGCAGTCCTGGGACCCGCGGCCATGGGTGAGCGAACCTGCTACGGAGCCGAGCCGTCCCCTGGCCCCATCCCCAGGAAATGCCAGGAGCAAGAAGACTCAATTCTTCTGCTCCTGGTCAGCTTGATCTTCCTCATCGTGTGGATCAACGTAGTGACTATGGTCAGGGCAGGATCTGGGCAGCGGGGTTGGGGGAGCCCTGGGGTCTTGAAGGGGCTGAGGTGGGAAGGCTGCTGGGGTGTGGCTGGACAAGGGTTGGATTTCAGGGCTCACCCTGCTCCCGGCCTCCCCACTCCCCTTCTTTCCTCAGCTCTGGAGGCATCTGAAGAGATTCTTGCGGGCACTTTTCAATAATATTTTCCCCAAAGGTGAGTGGGTGCCAGTGTGGGCTCAGGGGATGTCGGCCTGTCCCCTTTCTTCTATCCCTGCCTTGATTCTCAGCCCCTCAGAAACCCAGGCCCTGACCCATCTCGCCTTTCCCCGCAGACAAGCAAGCCAGCTGTGTAGGCAGCCATCGCATGCGCAGGCGCTGCTCCGTGGATCCCAAGAACCTGCGCTCAAGAGTTTCTGCCCGCTTCCGCCATCGCCCAAGCTTCCTGCTCGGGCACCCAAACCACCTTGACTCCCGGATACGATACACAAAAGATGAGAAGGCTTCTAAGTGCCGCTGGACGCCGCCTCAGTGTGGACGGGCTGGGGCTTCCACGGAGGCTCCACGGAGACTGCGGAAGAAGCGGGTAGTGGGAGCTGGGGAGGCCCCTCCGGTCACAGCCTTAAAGTCCCAAGCCAACTTTTACTCCGGGTAAGAGACATCTTCGAAGCTCCGCAGGATGAGCAAGGTGGACGTGGTTCCACTCCGCCTGCCCCAAGAGAGCAAGACTAAGACCCCAGACTCTGACCCAGCCCAGGCCCCAGCCCGGGCCCAGACCCGCCCCCCAGTTCAGCCCCCTGCGCATGCTCCTGCCAAGGCCCAGACCTTCTCCTCAGCCCACCCCACTGAGCACACCCCCCACTTCCGAGACCTGCTCCCGAGGCCACGCCCATGAGCACACTTCCGCCCGGGCCCAGGCCTTCTCCCTAGTGCACCCCACTGGGAACACTCCTGCCAAAGCCCAGAACTTCTCCTCCACCCACCCCTCTGAGCACGCCCCACCTCAGGCCCAGACTTGCTCCACATTCCACTCCCCTGAGCACACCACCCCCCAGGCCCAGAACCCCTCCCCAGCCCTCACCCCTGAGCACAGCCCTGCCCAGGTCCATGGCCCTGAGCATACCTCAGCCCATACCCCAGCCCAGGCCCAAGCCCAGGCCCCCTCACATGCCTCAGCCCAGTCCCTGGGCCACACCTCTGTCTGCACCCTGACCCATGCTCATCTGACCTATACCCATGCCAACACTCTGGTCCTTCCCCCAACTTCTGCACCAGTCCCTCCGCCAACTTCTGCCCCTGCTACTACCCCTGCCCTAGCCCCTACACCAGCCCCTGTCCCGATCTCTGCCACAGCCTCTGTCCCAGCACTGGTCATGGCCCTGACGACCACTCCAGTCCCTTCCACCACCCCTACCCCCATCCTAGATTCTACTCCCTCTACCTTGTCTGCCTTCAGCCAAGGCCTCTCCTCCGGCCGTGTGGTCTACGATGACCGCAGGGTAAAGCAGAACTTATTCCATGTGTGTCCCCCTCAGAACTCTGGGTATTCCAGAAAGGACTTGGGTACCCTCTCCAGGCCCCAAGAGGGGCATGGTCTGGTGAGCTCTGGTACAGCTGAACAAACACTCAAGCAATGTAGTGGGGACAGTGCTAAGCCCTCCACAGCATCCATACTGGGTTACCTGGAGTTGGGGAATATGGAATGGAAGATCTCAAATGATGCCAAAGACAACTTTGTACAGTCCAAGACCTTCCCTTACTGCAGCTTCCTTCCTTGCAGGTCTGAGAAGAGAAACACGGACCCCCAGACTCCAGTCTACCCCAAATCCCTGTACTCCAAGGATGCTGTACCTTCTCAACCTTGCTTCCATTCTCCAAACAGTGCCCAGAGCTCACCATGCACCATGCCTCCACCATGCACTCTTTATCTACCTCTTGTTTCTCCCAGATCCTGGGTCCTTCATCAACACAGCAACCACCAGAAGCCCTCCACCTTAATACAACCCCCCACCTTTCCCCCAACCTCCAAGTCTTCTCAGTCTGTCCTCTCTTCCCAGGGCCCCATCCCTCCCCAGTTATCCACTACTTCTCAAACCCCAAGCCAGGCCCAACCCCCTGAACTTTATGAGACTCTAGGCCTCAACCAAGGCTCTGTCCTCCCAAGGACCCCAGGCCCTTCCAAAGTCTGCAGAGTTTCCAGAAACCCAGGCCTTACCACAAACCCAGGCGCCCACAAGAGTCCAGGCCTTATCCAAGACCCAGGCCTCCCCAAGAACACAGGCCTTGCTCAAGATCCAGGCCTCCACAAGCTTCCTGGCCCCCATAAGGGTCCAGCCCTTACTCAGTACTCTGGCTTATCCCAGAGATCAGGCCTCCATAACAACTCATGCCTTATCCCAAATCCTGACTTCCACAAGGATGCAGGGCAGCACATACCATGGACTTCTATCCCACCCAGTCAGAACTCCTGCTCTCCCGAGGCTCAGGTGGCCTACAATGACCTGCTCACCTGCTCAGAGGTACCTGTGCTGATTGTGCTGCAATCACCCTCCCAGCGAGTAGGCGGCCAAGAACGGGTGTACCACCCCATGGATACAGTTCCTCCAGCCTGCCAGAACCATCGCCAGATGTCTACGCCTCCCAAAACCAGCTGGAAGCCCTACTGTCCTGGGTCAGGCACCCGGCTCGGGCATGTGGTCTTTGACGCCCGCCAGAGACAGTTCAGAGCAGGCAGGGACAAGTGAGAAGCTCTGTCTCCCAGGCGCCTTCACCGAGAGACCTCCAACAACTCACCTGAGACCATCAAGGAGTGGGGATATCAGTGTGTGATGAGCAACTTAGCAAAAGAGGGGACAGATATGCATGAGGAATAAAGAGACGAGAAGTGTTCTGTGGTTGTTTGAGGACATGCACCCCAGCCCCATCCCACAGGGCCTGATGAGGACCTAAACTATCCCTGCTTTCCCTCCATCGCTGTCTAGCTGAATCCGTCATCCCCAAGGCCCTAGAGCTGCATTGTCAATTACAGTAGCCACTAGCCAAATGCCTATTAGAATGTAAATTAGTTAAAATTAAGGAAAATTAATTCTGTTAAAAATTAAGTTGAAAAGTTAAAAATTCTCTTCCTCAGGGAGCGGAATTTCCCTGGCATCCAATTCTGTTCCCTGGCGGTCCAGTTGTTGGGACTTGGCACTTTCACTGCTGTGGCTGGTGTTCAATCCCTGGTCGGGGAACTCAGACCCCGCAAGCTTCATGGTTTGGCCAAAAAAAAAAAAAAATTCTGTTCCTCAGAGCCACGACCTTCTAAGGGCTCAGTAGGTACATGGAGCTAGTGGCTACTGCATTGGGCGGCACAGATTTAGAACATTTGCATCATCATGTAAAATGCTATTGGAGAGCAGTGCTTTAGAGTTTAGAGCAATTTCCCTTTCCCTGTCACCCACCCCCAGCATCTTAAAGCTCCCCAAGAGCCCAGAGAACTTTTTAGGGAGGAGGTAAGATGTGGGGATGGACACCCAGTGCCTGATTTCCCCAGACTGTGAGAAAGAGCCCAGGCTTCAGTTTTCCTCATCTGGTCTCTTGGGTCACGACCAGATGTATGGAAACTTGCCTCCCCCATTCTGGGCTGTGTTTGGGGCTCTTGGTTACTGAGGAAGAAGACCTCTCTTTGTCAGTGACTAGGAAACCTTGTGTTTTAGGCTCCCCAAATTGAGCCCTGGATTCTGAGGGTACCCTCCTTCATAGGCCTCTAAATATTTCGAGGTGTCTCCACTTAATTTTCTTGCCCATGGACTTAGTCCCAGTTCAGTGTGGAGACAGACCCCTGGGTAAAAGGCATGTAAGAATTCCTGGTCCAGTGTGCATTGATCTAATCTGTGAGTGTGTCTCTGGTGTCCTATCTTTCTGTCCTATTATTCTGGCTCCTAGTTTCATCCTGGACTTAAGCTGTGTCCATGATAGCACTGGTCGCTGAAAGCCATTTCCTTCCCCTGATAATTTTGCATTGCCCTGCCCTAGCCCAGCTGGAGTTTCCTCTGGACTTGATTTTCAGTCCTGATAACTCTTCTGTATACACACATAAGCTGCGAGATTCCAAAGCGTTTTCCCTGCCACCACTTGTGTGTCTGAGGTGGGCAACACTAATATGTCCCTTCCCTGAGTCAGATGTCCATCCCTGGGTCACTACATGCACACTATCGGTGTGTTCTTGTCTAACGTTACCACCACTGATTCCAAGGAGATACGTCCCAGCTGGAGAGCCCATTTCCAACACCTCTCTGGCTCAGCTCTGACCTTGGACAAGTCATGTGCAACCTTTCTAGGCTTGCAGTCTCATCTCTAAAGTGAAGTTATAATTGCATGCAAGAACCATTCTAGATTTAAATGACCAGGGCTCCTCTACTCCCAAGTGAGATATAGAGTCCCTTATTTCTCCGCATGCCCTAGAGTATGTCCCTCATTATGGTTTGCTATTCAGATTCATCCTATTAGGCCTCTGTTCTGACCCCAAGGAGTGTTTGTGCAGTTCACCTGGCCTTGTAAAGACACAGAATAGTTTATCATAAAGACACAGAATAGCTTACCTCCATAGAAGCTACAGCTTCCATCAGGCACTACTTCAACGGAACAGGAAAGGATGTGGGGGCGTGGCCCCAACGCCCTGGTAGCTTTGAAGACAAACTACAACTCCCAGGATAGCCGCGAGATCTCTGCAGAGCGAAAGGAGTGACTGAACTCTGACTGGAGGCCGGGCTGGTCCGGAACCACCCCGACAGTCTCCAGAAAGGGGCGTGGTTATAATTTAAGGGCGTGGCCTTACAGGCAGCAGGAAGAAGTTACCTGTTGAATCTTCCTATCCATTCTCTTCCCAGCCTTTGTAGCTAACCCTAAGAGGGAAGCCGCAAACCACTAGCCTCTTCTGAAAAAGAGGTAAGTGGACGTAGACAAGGGGCAGCGAAGGAGGCTATTGCATTCCTTAGGAGGGGCCAAACAGCTACTTTCTACCGGCTGAGTCAGGTGAACCGTTCCATGCGGGCGGGGACCAGCATATGAGAAAAGGGCAAGGACGGAGGAGGTATTTATTTGTTCTCTTTCAAGACTAAATTTAGGGCCCTTCGTCTGCAGACCCATTGGCGGACTGTGTCTTGGGAACCCTCTTGGCCTCTGGAAGAGCAAAGAACGGGGGCCAGTTTTCCGCAGCAAAAGGTACGGCCCGTCTGGGCTTCCTCCCGTCTGTGTATTTCCTAGCCCCCAAACGACAGAGCCATATGGCTTCCGCGGTCTGGGGGAGTGCTCCCTGGTGGGGCCCACCGCCCCCAGCCCCAGCCCGGCCGCTCACGGACATCGACTTCTGCTCTGCGGCGCAGCTGCAAGAACTAACCCAGCTGATCCAGGAGCTGGGTGTGCAGGCGAGCTGGAGTGAAGGTCCCAATCCAGGACCAGATCTCCTCCAGGCCAAGGACTTTGTTTTCTCTTTGCTTGGTAAGTAACCCTCCCAGCCTTCGGGAACTTGCACATCTCAGCTCCGCCTCACCCCGCCCCGGCTCTGGATCACGACTTTACGGTCCCTTCTCTTTCCTTAGGTCTCGTTCACCGCCGGGACCCTCGCTTTCCTCCTCAGGCAGAGCTCCTGCAACTTCGTTGCGGGATTCGCGAGGGCTCCCTGGATCTGGGGCCTGCGCCTCTAGGTCCCTACGCTCGGGGACCTCACTACGACGCCGGCTTCACACTCCTGGTGCCCGTGCTTTCGCTAGATGGCACTGGGCAGGAGCTGCAACCGGACGTGGGATCCTGTTACACATGGCTCTTCCTCCCAGAGCAGGTACGCGGAACCTCGGTCCGGGAGGCATGGCAGGATTGCCTAGGACCCCCAGTCCCAGGAGGACGTGATTCGATCCACCCAGCCCAAAGCAAAGAAACTCCCAAGGATCCGCAAATCTCTGTGGACCAGCTTACACGTCACTGAGCCTGAGGCACACGAGTCTTTGGAAAACTCACCTAGTAATGTTTCAGTGCCAGAGTTGCCTCAACAAGACGTAACCGATGTTGGCTTTCCCTCACCACTGAAAAAAACGAATGGTGACGTCACCAAAGCAACCGACGTTAGCCCAGTGCCACAGCCGTTGGAGGCTCCGGAGGCATGGCCCACATTGTGCCCCGCCCAGGTGGCTGCCTGGTTCTCTGCTTCGCTGGCTGCGGTCACTGAGTCCCCGTTTCCGGTTCCGGGTGCCCCGCGCTTGGTCCACGCAGCCCGCCACGCGGGGGTCACCACCATCCTCCTGGCTACGCCCGGGCCCCCGCGCCGCCTCCTGCTTTTCGACTTGATCCCCGTGGTGTCCGTGGCCGGCTGGCCCCAGGGGCCTCGGAGCCACTCGTGGGCCGGCCCGCTGGCCTCGGAGTCGTCTTCCTTCTACCTGGTGCCCGGCGGCGGCGGCGGCACAGAGCGGCCGGACGCCTCCGGCTGGCAGCTCTGCTTCGCCTGCCAAGAGCTGGCGCTCAAGACGCGCATATCCGTTCCCCTGCTGCAAGGGCACGCGGCGGCCCAGGCGCTGCTGCGCCCTCTGGTGGCCGGGACTAGGGTCGCGACGCCCTACCTCCTGCGGACGTTGCTCTACTGGGCGTGTGAGCGGCTGCCCGCGCCCTATCTGGCGCGAGCCGAGAATGCGGGCGCCTGCTGCCTCGGGCTGCTGGATGAGCTGGGCCGGGTGCTCGAGGCCGGGACGCTGCCCCACTATTTTCTGAGTGGCCAAAAGCTCCGTGCGGGGGACGGCGCCGCTTCGCTGCTCGGGGCGTTGGCCCTGCCCGCGCCCTGCGCGCCGCTGTGGAAGAGGCCAAGGCTGCACGCAAGGGGGGCGTCTTAGCGGGCGTGGGAGGCGGGGCCCATTAAAGACGCTGTTCCTACTAACCTGGAATGTGCTTCTGTTGGCCAGCGGGATGTGAAAGGGACTGCTCTCCCCTCACCTGGGAGACAGGCTGAGCGCTTTGGGCCCGAAGAGCCCGTTCTACAAGGCCTCCTCGCCGGTTCCTCCGCTTCCTCCCACCCTCCTCCCGCCCCATCCCTGGCACAGGTCGTTCCATTCTGGCCTCTCCACTTTCCAAATCTGTGGTCAGCACCCCTCCCACTCCGGTGCAGCCTCTGGCATCCATCTCCCGCCAGTTCTTATGGTCTTTTCTCCTAGGAGTCAATAGGGATGGGGGTAATATATTTGCTGAAAAAACGTGTAAAGGAGAAAGGTATGGAGACCAGGGACTGACCAATTTGTCTCACACAAAAGCAGAGACATTAAGGAGGCCGGATTTCACCCCAGGCTAGACCTCACCACCACCGCTATCTCTTCAGTTATTCCCCCCACCTTCCTCGTCCAGTTCTGTCCTCCATCCCGGGCAGTAGGGTCCCTTTCTCCATTCTCGGGGCATCCGCCATTCCATCTATCTAAGCCCAACCTCTCCCCCCATCCAGAGTTCCATTCAGTGGAGTCGCCTCCTTGTCCCTCCTCCTCTGAACCCCGAGACGTGCGAGACATGCGGCCTTGCCTCGGCTCCGCCTGTCTCTAAGACCGTCGCCACTCCCTGCCTCCAAGGAACCCCGGGGTTCCGCCCGCCCAGCTTCACCTCCCCCTCTTTCCCGGCGTCTACGCCCCCTGCCCCGCCCCCGGACCGGCTCTCGGAGGAGGGGGAAGCCGCTGTCGCCGCCGCCGCCTCAGCTTCCCACAGCCGCCGCCGCCGCCGCCGCCGCCGCCGCCGCCGCCGCCGCCGCCGCCGCCGCCGCCGCCGCCCCGCTTGATCCAGCCGCCAGGCCCAGTGCTCACTTCGCCAGACGAGGGCGCTCTGCGGAGACACCCTCACTCCTTCCTGGGGTCCGGGACGCCTAGCCGGGCGTGGGGGGAAGCTCCGCTTGTGGGGTACAGGGAGGGAGGAGCCTGGAACCGGAGCCAGCGCCAGCCGTCCCCGGATCGACAAGACAGGACAGGTTGAGGGGCCTTCTCTCCACAGTGTCCCTGAGACCTCCCCTTCCAGTCCCCCTGGCCTCTGCCATGTAGTCCCCGGACTGGAGGCTCCCTGCACTCGCCACCACCACAGCCTATCTCCCAGCCCTGCTTCTGGCCCTGCTCTCACCCCTGCTGCCACACTCATGCCCTGAGCAGCCACGTCCCACCAGGTGCTCTACCCTGAGGGAGCCTAGGGGCCGGCCATGGCTTCCGGGGCTGCTGAGACCCTTAGATCCTTGGGCCCGGGAAAGGGGTCAGAGAGGGGGATGTCTGACAATGGTCCTGGCTGATCACCTCTTTCCTTCCACACTCACACCCTCCAAAGCCTTTTCCCGAGATGGCGCGGGGGGTTCCAAAACTGACAAAACCGGGGCATATATCTTCCCCACCCCGGGCTCAGCCAGGTCCTGGAGCCCTTTGCCCTTTTCATGGCCACCAAGCCATAGACTTATAGGTCCACTGCAGCTCAGGATTAGTTTCCTTCTTTCGCTACTCCACCTTTTGCCTTGTTCCAGACAGGTTCTGGAACACCAGGCACCGCAGCCAGGGCCATTTCTGCACCCAGGGTCTGTGCTGGAACACAGGCATGCTGCCAGGCTCTGTTCTGGATCCATCAGGCTTCTGTCCTTCACCCAGATGGACCCCTGTTTTCCAACTAGAGAGAGGCTGGATTTGGGCCCTGTCCAGCTGTTGGTCTTGGCCTGAATTGGGCCAGTCTCAGATCACCACAGGTTTAACTTTCTTACCCCAGAGACACCCAATTCTAGAGCGTGGTGTTCTAGACACATACGGAGCCATACTTCCTTCTGAATCTCAGCTCTAGGACATAGACCCCGACTCTCAGCCCTTCCCTCTAGGATGGAACTAGAGCCTATATAGGCATGTTATTGGTTTAGAGTAAGAGTTCTAGACCCACGCTCCCACCTTCTCTCGTGATACCTGTTAAGCAGGAGCTCTGGAAAGGACCCAGCTATGATCCACAAAGAACTAAGTTCTGGATGGATCATCCAGAACTTCTTGTTTTCCCTAGACAATTTTCCAAAACTCTCATTCTTCCTATAGAATGCTCACCTTATTTTTTACATGCAGTTTCTAGCTCCTGCAACTCAGCTGGGGCCCTGCCAGGGAACAGAGGCTGAGGAAGGGCAGAGGAGTTTTGGAAGGAATCCCTGGCTCATAGAAGGGCAGCTAGGATGGGAAAGTGGCCAGAACCATGGCATGACTGGACCTGTGCCTGGGTTGGGGGGACATGAACACTTAGCTACCTCAGCAGGAATTCCTTCCAGGTCCCCTTTAAAGCTGAGGTCTTTAGGGTAATGGGTCTAGAATAAAAAAGACAAATGGGACATAGCTTTGAACCCCCTCAAATGAGGAGACACCTATTCAGCAATAAGTCCCATCCTTCTCCCCTACAGGTCAGGCCAAGGAGGGTGAGGGCCTCTTGGTCTCTAGACCTCATACACCCCTCCAGCTTCTAACTGAATAGAACTTGCTTTACCTCAGCTGTGTGTTAGGTACCCAAAAAGGCTCTGCTCCCAGGGGACCAGTGTCCACTCCATGCTTTCTCAATTAAAGACGATTTATACAATTGAAGTGTTGTCTGCCATCTGTGGGTAGCAGGCTTTGGCAGTCGCTCGGGGAGGGATCAAGTCCCAGGGGCGGGGCGGGTAGGCTGGCGGCTGCCCCCCAATAACAGGTGCACATTCATGGGCGCCTCGTCACTTCCCCTGCGCTGGCTGTCCTGGCGGCTCACCCAAGCGGTCTCACTGACGCGGGCGGGCTATGACCCCAGGGGCGCTGCTGCTGCTGGGGGCGTTGGGGGCGCCGTTCGCCCCGGGTAAGTCTGGGCCTCAAAGGGGCAGTGACAGGGCCAGAGGTCGTGGCCGGGCACCACGGCTTCACTCAGTTCTCTCCTCCTCCAGGCGCCCGCGCCTTAGAGGCGGAGGGCCGACTCCGCGAGAAACTTTGCTCGGGCTATGATAGCTCGGTGAGGCCGGCGCGGGAGGTGGGAGACCGCGTCGGGGTCAGCATTGGTCTCAGCCTAGCGCAATTAATCAGCCTGGTGAGGGCGCACGCGGGGAGTTGAGGTCTGGCCCACTAGCTGGCTGGGGGGCGTGGCTTTAGGCAGGGCGGAACCCAGGGACCACCGGGGGCGGGGTCCGGGGCGAGGCCAGGCTGGGTGACTGACGGGCCGTTAGTAGAGATTGGGTCGAAATCGGACCAATGGACAAGCTGTGGGCGTGGGTGCTGGACGGGCCAGGATTGAGCCGGGCAGGATGATGAACTGGCCTGTTGGCGGATCTCAAAGTGGAGCTGGGGCCGATGGACAGGCCGGAGAGCGGACCTCGATGGACAGGCCGGAGAGCGGACCTTGAGGCGGGGTCACAGGCTGGGGCGGACCTTGGTGCCGGACAGGGTCAATAAACAACAGCGGGCAGAGATTCACTCCGGCCGGGGCCGGGACTGGTAAATGAACTGGCTGGCTGTACGGCCAGCAGGAAGTTTACGAGATAGAGGCGGAGCTTAAGCCAATGCAGTTTATAGGAGGTGGAGCTTGAACCCAAGAGGGTGCGACGCAGTAAAAGAGGGGAGTTTCCAGGGAGAGTTTACCCACCGAGCCCCTCATTTCTCTACACTGACATCATATCTACCCTTTAAACTCTTCCCTTCTAGAACGAGAAGGATGAGGAGATGAGCACAAAGGTCTACTTAGACCTGGTACGGAGACCCGCGCAGGGTGGGAAAGGGCGGGCGTCCCGCTGCCTTTACAATTTCCTCGAATGTTCCGCGCAGTAAGATTTTTTTTTTTTTGCATCACGACCTCAGAAAACACATTTATAACTGAAACAGAAGCTTCAGGAAACAATACCTATGTTTGCTATGGGAGCTGCATTCCATGCATTTTTCATTCTAAATTTTTTTAAACACTGGTTTGGGGCCACTCATTTGATTCCGGACCTATGAAAAGGGTCGTTAACTGCAGTTTGAAAGCCACTGTTTTAGAGGCTAGCGTGCAACCCCCTCGTTTTTACAGAAAGAAGAAATTGGGGCCCGATGAGAGAGAAGGGGAAATTAGTTGATAGGGTCCCAAAGAGTGCAGGTGGAGTCTTAAACAGAGCCCCGGCCTCCAGAACCACAGACCATGCCTGCGTGGCTGTCCTCCCTTGCATTCCCTGCCCGGGCTTCCTCAGCACATCCCAAGACTCCTTCCAGCCTCCAGCCCCAGACGGCCCCTCAGCCTCTGCTTCCCTAGGAGTGGACTGACTACAGGCTGAGCTGGGACCCTGAGGAGCAAGAGGGCATCGACTCACTCCGCATCACTGCCGAATCCGTGTAGCTACCAGACGTGGTGGTCCTAAACAAGTAAGGATGTTCCCAGAGTCTGGGAGGTGGGGAAGGGCCTCTGGAGGGGCGCGGCCTCCGGAGGGAGGGGCCTGATCCCAGATGAGAAGATTCTTTCCCGGCAGCAACGACGGAAATTTTGATGTTGCTCTGGACATCAGCGTCACGGTGTCCTCCGACGGCTCCGTGCGCTGGCAGCCGCCGGGCATCTATCGCAGCAGCTGCAGCATCCAGGTGTCCGGCCCCACCTGGGAAGCTCAAGGCGCTCCTAGAAACCCTCACTCAGATATCCCTCCTCCATAATCCCCATGACCCTCACGTCTCACTTACCCTTCTGATTTTCCGTTGAGTTTCATCTTCTCTGTCCACTTTCATTGACTTCCAGTCTTCCTCAGTGACCGCCCCCCTCCATTGTCCATGACCTCCCCGCATAACCTTCTTATTCCTCTGTGACTCCACTTCTCTGTGATCTCCCCCTGGTGGTCCCTATCTCCCTAGTGCCCCATATCCTCTGACCCCTGTCTGCCCTGTGACCTCCCCAACTCCCCCAGCCCTGACCAGCTCTCTGGCAGCTCTAGTGACTCTCCACTCCATCCAGGTCACCTACTTCCCCTCTGACTGGCAGAACTGCACCATGGTGTTCAGTTCCTATAGCTATGACAGCTCAGAAGTCAGTCTGCAGACCGGCTTGGGTCCCGATGGGCAGGAGCGGCAGGAAGTGCACATTCATGAAGGCACCTTTATTGGTGAGTGGGCTTGGCTCCCATGTCCATGGGCTTTACGATTTCCAGTTTCTGACAGGCTGATAAATATACGCCCTCAGTGAGTCCCTGTGGGTTCAGCAAGATAGGTATAACTGTCTATATTTTGTGGTTATGGAAATTGAGACTTGCTCAAATTTATTAGAGATGGGCTGTCCAGCCCAGGGACCATAGCTAGCCCCTTATTACATCAGTCCCCCCTGCTCTAGGATGTGGCAGAGAAAGCCATATCTGGGAATCCCCTGGCGGTCCAGTGGTTAGGACTCCACACTTTCACTGCTGAGGGCCCGGGTTCAATCCCTCGTTGGGGAACTAAGATCCCACAAGCAGCGCGGTGGCGCTGTGAGGCAAAAAAAAAAAAAAAAAAAAAGAAAGAAAGAAAGAAAAAAAGAAAAGTAAGCCGTATCTGGCACCAACAAAGACAGGTTCCACATCTGTGTCACCTTCTCTTCTCCCCCCACTCCCCCCAAGAGAATGGTCAATGGAAGATTATTCACAAGCCTTCTCGGCTAATCCAGCCTCCAGTGGATCGTAGGGGAGGGGGGGAAAGACGGCGTGAAGAAGTCACCTTCTACCTCATCATTCGCCGGAAGCCTCTCTTTTACCTGGTCAACGTCATTGCCCCATGCATCCTCATCACTCTTCTGGCCATCTTCGTCTTCTACCTGCCACCAGATGCAGGTAAGAGGGGAAGGGGTCCAGCACTCCTTCTTACCAATAGCTCAGGTTCTTGCTCTTCACCCATAAAACAGGGAAGGTTTTCCTGCCAACTCAAGCCTTCATGAACTGTGCCTCAGCAATCTCACCCAGGTTTTCCTTTCAGGAAGAGCCTTTGCCTCTGCATCCAGATTTCCCCTCCAACCTGAAGCTCTACCTCCCCTCTGCTGCTCACTTCTCTGCACCCAGTAACTTCTGAACTCTTCCCTTCAGAATCCTAGGATCTCATCCTTGGAACTGCCACTCCTCTGACCAACAAACTCCCAGGCTCAGCTAATGCTTCCTTTCCCTTTCCCCATTCCTGGCATCCTCCCTCCCCCACTGGTCAAATGCCGCCTACTAGTCCCTTAACCTCCTGTGTCCCTTGGAAATAATAGCCAACATTTCTCTGGGAGACAGCACAATATGCTAACAGAGTAACCTTGGGCAAATTCCTTAATCTCTTAGTGTCCTGATGTGGAAATAGGACAGTCGTTGTCCCTCCCACAGAGGACTATTTTGAAGATTAACTGAGTTAATAGAACTATGCCTGGTACTCTGTAAGCTTTGTGTAAGTGTAGTTATAGTCTTTTCTAATTTGGAGCACTTGCTATAAGATAATACAAATAATGTGTTACATATATTAACTCAGTTCTAATCTTCACAACTCTGTGAGGTAAGTACTGAATTGTCTGCCCGTTTCACAGAGGCTAAGTGAGTTTAAGTCATTCACCTGACGTTACACAGAGAGAAGCAGTGTTGCTGTTCCAACCCTGCTTAGTACTAGTCTGATCCAGAGACTGATATCCTAAGCTCTCATATTCAAAGATGCTTTACTGGGAGTTCTCTGGTAGGCTAGTGGTTAGGATTCTGGGCTTTCACTGCTGTGGCCTGAAAAACAAAACAAAACAAACAAAAAGCACACGCTTTCCTTCTCTCTGTAATCAAGCCCTCTCTCAGTCTAGGGAAGGAGAGAGATGCATCTCTAGAACACACTTCCACATGTAACTTCTCCTTCTTCCTGGAGCAAGGCAAATCTTGGAACCCAATATTACAGGACTGAAGTAGAACAGACCGTAATAGTTATTTATTTCAATACCTTCCATGAAGTTTGCAGTGCCTGTTGTATGCCACAGTAATAACCAGCCACCTGGCATATTCTTACATACTTGGTTTCATTTTTAGATCCTTCGATTTGCTATATAGTTCCTGCCCTAGGGGTTGGTCCATTCATTCATTTAACAATACTTGTTGAACATCTGTAACGTGCAAGGCACTGGGAATACATCAGTGAATAAAACAGACAAAAATCCCTGCTCTCATGGAGTTTATATTCTAGTGGGGGAGACAGTCAGTAAACATAATAAACCCATTGGATAGTATATTATTATTTTTTTAATTAATTAATTAATTTATTTATTTAGGCTGCGTTTGGCCTCCGTTGCTGCGCGGGGCTTTCTCTAGTTGTGGTGAACAGGGGCTACTTTCGTTGCAGTGCACGGGCTTCTCATTGCGGTGGCTCCTCTTGTTGTGGAACACGGAATCTAGGCGCGTGGGCTTCAGTAGTTGTGGCACACGGGCTCTAGAGCACAAGCTCAGTAGTTGTGGCGCACGGGCTTAGTTGCTCCGCGGTATGTGGGATCTTCCCGGACCAGGGCTCGAACCCGCGTCCCCTGCATTGGCAGGCGGATTCCTAACCACTGTGCCACCGGGGAAGTCCTAGATAGTATATTAGGAGAGGTCAATTCCTAAGAAGGAAAAATAGGAAAAGGGTTTGGGGAGGATGAGAATGGGGGTAGGGGTTGCAATTTATTTATTTATTTAAACAATTTTATTGAAATATAGTTGATTTACAATGTTGTGTTTCATTTCTGCTGTACAGCAAAGTGACTCATTTACAGATATATATATTTTTTCATATTCTTTTCCGCTATGGTTTATCACAGGGGTTGCAATTTAAAAATAGGATGGTCAGTGAATGCCTCACTAAAAAGGGAATGTTTGATCAATATTTGAACAAAGACTTGAAGGAAGTGAGAGAATGACCCTGGTAGATATCTGGGGGAAGAAATTACCAGGAGGAGTTAACAGTGAATGCAAAGGCTCTGAGGTGGGCGTGTGCCTTGCATATTCAAGAAATAGCCAACGTAACTGAATGAAGAAAGCAAGAGAGAAAACAGTATGTGATGCAGTCAGAGAGCTAATGGGAAGGCCTTGTAGACTTCAGTAAGGACTTTTATGCTAAAGGCGATGGGAAGCCACTGGAGTGATATGATCTGATTTACATTTTAACGGGATCAATCCGGCTGCTCTGTTGAGAACAGTCAGCAGGGGGGCAAAGGATGAAGCAAAGAGGAGGCCTTTATAATAACTCAGATCTGAGGTAATGGTGGCTGGTACCAGGATGGTAGTGGTAGATGTGATAAGTCATCAGTTTCAGGACATATTTTGAAGATAGAGCCAATAGGGTTTGGTATGGATTGGATATGGGATGAGAGAGAGGAGAGCTGAGAATGACTCAAAGGGATTTGGCCTGAGCCACAGGAAAGGTCGAGTTGTCATTTATGAACTGAGGCAGACTATGTGGGGAGTCGGTGGTGAGGGAATTAAGTTTTGGACATGTTAAGTTCGAGATGTCTAGTGGACACCCAAATGGAGAGGTTAAGTAGGTAGGTGGTTACAAGTGTGGAATTTAGGGGAATCAGTCCAGGTTGGAGGTATAAATNGGCATGGTCTGGTGAGCTCTGGTACAGCTGAACAAACACTCAAGCAACGTAGTGGGGACAGTGCTAAGCCCTCCACAGGATCCATACTGGGTTACCTGGAGTTGGGGAATATGGAATGGAAGATCTCAAATGATGCCAAAGACAAATTTGTATAGTCCAAGACCTTCCCTTACTGCAGCTTCCTTCCTTGCAGGTCTGAGAAGAGAAACACGGACACCCAGACTCCAGTCTACCCCAAATTCCTGTACTCCAATGATGCTGCACCTTCTCAACCTTGCTTCCATTCTCGAACCAGTGCCCAGAGCTCACCATGCACCATGCCTCCACCATGCACTCTTTATCTGCCTCTTGTTTCTCCCAGATCATGGGTCCTTCATCAACACAGCAACCACCAGAAGCCCTCCACCTTAATACAACCCCCCACCTTTCCCCCAACCTCCAAGTCTCCTCAGTCTGTCCTCTCTTCCCAGGGCCCCATCCCTCCCCAGTTATCCACTACTTCCCAAACCCCAAGCCAGGCCCAACCCCCTGAACTTCATGAGAGTCTAGGCCTCAACGAAGGCTCTGTCCTTCCAAGGACCCCAGGCCCTTCCAAAGTCTGCAGAGTTTCCAGAAACCCAGGCCTTACCCCAAACCCAGGCCTCCCCCAAGAACCCAGGCCTTGCTCAAGATCCAGACCTCCACAAGCTTCCAGGCCTTACCCAAGATGCTGGAATTCACAGGGGCTCAGAACATACCCATAACCCTAGCTTACACAGCACTCAGGAATTAATCGAGATCCTGGCCCCCATAAGGGTCCAGCCCTTACTGAAGACTCTGGCTTATCCAAGAGATCAGGCCTCCATAACAACTCATGCCTTATCCCAAATCCTGGCCTCCACAGGAACCCTCTAGGAACTGACTCTGTCCAAGTTTTGGGCCCACATCAGACCTGAAAGTCATTTATATCTGAGGCAGTTCGTCGAAAGGAGGATGCGGGGCAGCACATACCATGGACTTCTGTCCCACCCAGTCAGAACTCCTGCTCTCCCAAGGCTCAGGTGGCCTACAATGACCTGCTAACCTTCTCAGAGGTACCTGTACTGATTGAGCTGCAATCACCCTCCCGGCGAGCAGGCAGCCAAGACTGGGTGTACCAGCCCATGGATACAGTTCCTCCAGCCTGCCAGAACTATCGCCAGATGTCTACGCATCCCAAAACCAGCTGGAAGCCCTACTGTCCTGGGTCAGGCACCCGGCTAGGGCATGTGGTCTTTGACGCCCGCGAGAGACAGTTCAGAGCAGGCAGGGACAAGTGCGAAGCTCTGTCTCCCAGGCGCCTTCACCGACAGACATCCAACAACTCACCGGAGACCATCAAGGAGTGGGGATATCAGTGTGTGATGAGCACTTTAGAAAAAGAGGGGACAGATATGCATGAGGAATAAAGAGACAAGAGAAGTGTTCTGTTGTTATCTGAGGACATCCACCCCAGCCCCATCCCACAGGGCCTGATGAGGACCTAAACTATCCCTGCTTTCCTTCCATCGCTGTCTAGCTAAATCCGTTATCCCCAAGGCCCTAGAGCTGCATTGTCAATTACAGTAGCCACTAGCCAAATGCCTATTAGAATGTAAATTAGTTAAAATTAAGGAAAATTAATTCTGTTAAAAATTAAGTTAAAAATTCTCTTCCTCAGGGAACAGAATTTCCCTGGCATCCAGTTCTGTTCCCTGGCGGTCCAGTTGTTGGGACTTGGCGCTTTCCCTGCTGTGGCTGGGGTTCAATCCCTGGTCGGGGAACTCAGACCCCGCAAGCTTCATGGCTTGGCCAAAAAAAAAAATTCTGTTCCTCAGTGCCACGACCTTCTAAATGCTCAGTAGGCACATGGAGCTAGTGGCTACTGTATTGGACGGCACAGATTTAGAACATTTGCATCATCATGGAAAATGCTATTGGAGAGCAGTGCTTTAGAGTTTAGAGCAATTTTCCTTTCCCTGTTGCCCACCCCCAGCATCTTAAAGCTCCCCCAGAGCCCAGAGAACTTAGTTCTTTTTAGGGTGGCTCAGAAGCCACCCTCTGGGGAGGAGGTAAGATGTGGGGATGGACACCCAATGCCTGATTTCCCCAGACTGTGAGAAAGAGCCCAGGCTTCAGTTTTCCTCATCTGGTCTCTTGGGTCACGACCAGATGTATGGAAACTTGCCTCCCCCGTTCTGGGCTGTGTTTGGGGCTCTTGGTTACTGAGGGAGAAGACCTCTCTTTGTCAGTGACTAGGAAACCTTGTGTTTTAGGCTCCCCAAATTGAGTCCTGGATTCTGAGGGTCCCCTCCTTCATAGGCCTCTCAATTTTTCGAGGTGTCTCCACTTAATTTTCTTGCCCATGGACTTAAGCCTAGTTCACTGTAGAGACAGACCCCTGGGAAAAAGGCATGTAAGAATTCCTGGTCCAGTATGCATTGGTCTAATCTGTGAGCGTGTCTC